AACCCTCATGTTGTGTTAGGAACCGTTGTTAGCGGGTCAATTTTGACCCGGGGTCTAACACAGTCCTGAACACTAAAAATAAATAAGTATCACTTGATATAGTTAATACTACATCTTAACTAACATTATGTGCATTAACAACCATATAATCCTATTACTATTTGATTTTATGGCCCACGAGACGGATCTTGTCACTTATTTTTAAGCTGAAAATTAGGTTTTTTCAATCATTTATACTAAATGTAAAATCCATTGATAATAATGTTTTCTAACTATAATAGAACAATGTTAGAACATAACTTTAGAAAAAAGTTGAACACCCACAAATATATTAATTATAGTTACGCTGGTGGTGTTAGGGTCGAATTTGACCCGTGTAGATTAAAAGGAACCTTTGTTCTTCAGAAAACAACTTTATTTTAAGAAAACACCAGTTTTATGAACGTTTTCTGGAGTTTGGTCTGAAAAGCTCTAATGCAGTCTTTATGTCTTGGATCTGTGAGTTTGAAAATCGAGTGGGTTCAGGGGTCATTTTTATGATGTTTGCTGATGTTGCTCTGCCTTCATTTTCATACGAGTTTGAGACCAAACCTTTTCATTCTTTGAAAAAAAGCCCTGTTCTTGTTCATTCAGTCACTTCTTCATCTGAATCTGATGTTTCTTCATCGTGATGTGGATCATCGACAATATCATCCTCAGATATATCTTCCTCTATTTCAGCCTGATCTGGCGGCATTGTGAATAATGAGTGAATAGCACTGCTGCTTCTCAGCAAGAAGGTTCTCTGTTCAAATCCTGCTCAGAACAGGTGCCTTTCTGAGAGGAGTTTGCATGTTCTCCTTGTGTATGCATTGGTTTCCTCTAGGTCAGGCATGTCAAAGTCAAATACATCAGAGCAGGGCGAAAAAAACAAATTTGCTGCGAGCCGAGGGCCGGACTGGTTCAATATTTATTAACTCATTGTCTGCCAGCCAATTTCAGAAAAGGTACTCCCATATTGCCAGCAGTTTCTGATGATTTTTATAGATTTTTCAAGACCCACAGAATATTGTGTACTATGACTATCTGAAATCCGAAACCAGATTCTGAAAGAATGGACTGTCTACTTTCATCAGCAAAAATAATTTTGTTTCTTGCTTGTAATCCCCAGTTGAGTAGAGGGAAGTTTTACTGAAATGACCAAAAGGTTGAGAAAAAAGAGGCACAACAAGTGCATCTAGCTGTTTTCAAACCATTCAGAGAGCGCTGCTGCCACCTGCTGGCTCGATTCAATAAGCTCTCAAGCTTATCCCCATACATATTAGATATAATAGATATCTGGGAACATGAAAATAGCGGAAAACGCAATTAACGTAATAGTCCGTCAATGGCAAGCAACGAGCCATGTAAAATTCATTCGCGGGCCGGATTTGGCCCGCGGGCCTTGACTTTGACACATGTGCTCTAGGTGCTCTGTTTTCCCCTAGCACTCAAAAATGGACAATAGGTAAAATTCTCCAGTTAAGGTCCTGATCAAGCCAAGCATCAACATCTGGAGATGGGTCCTAAGACACTGTATTACACAGCAACCACTGTTCCTGCTAGAGAACCTAGTCGTAGAACTTGCAGGATGGGTCAAATACGGGACAATAATGTGCACATCCGTCTCCTCCAAAGACTCTTCCTCTACGAGGATGTGATCAAGAACCTCACGGACCGTGCAACGTAAAGGTGCATTTTATTTATCTCCAAAGGGCAATTCCTCCTCTGCATTTGACCCATCTTGATGCTACTAGGGCCTTTGTCAGGAGCAGTAGTCAATGTAGTACTGCACCCAGGACCCAACTCCAGATCTTGGTCAGAACCAGAGTTGGAGGATTTTACCTATTGTGCATGTTTTAGTGGTACGGGAAACTGGAGCACCCGGAGGAAACCTACACAGGCACTGGGAGAAAAAGACTTCACCCAAAAAGGCCCTGTTCAGTCCAGGATTCGAACCCAGGATCTTCTTGATGAGACGTAAGGGGTTGTCTCTGTATGTGTGCGCAAAAAGTTGTCTAGTCAGGTCAAGTTTGAGTACATTTCATATTTTGGTAAGTGTAAAATGTTAGTATGTCAGTTCTCACCCTCGTGGGTCACAAACTGTACTGTAAGAAAAGATTTGTTCTTGTGGAGAAAGGTGTTGAATGTGGGGTGACACCTGTATTGTACTCGAGTAAAATGTTCCTGTGGCGGGGGTGTTCTATTGGAGGAAGGAGGTGGGATCAGATAATGTATGAATTTTGCATAGTTTTACCTGTTAAGTGTAGTTTTACCTTGCCGGGTCAAAAATGACCCTAACACCACAGTCGTAACTATTTTTCTTCTGATACTTTTGGAAATGTCAAAATCGTAAAACAAACGTGTTGTGGAGGATGTCATTAAGCCTCGTTCTCATAAGATCAACTACATGGAAGTCATTACATATTATTACCATGAAGCGGGTCGCTGGAGACCCTAACACAACATAAGGGTTAAAACAATGCTATCCTTTGATTTTCACTGTCCCAGTTGGAGGAGGGTGACCTCTGACCTCTGAGAGCTTTGTGTGTGATTGAGTGAGTGAATGCTTTGTCCTTGTATATATTTGTTCAGTTTATTTGCCATTACTGCAAATGGAAAATAAACTGAATCTGAATCTGTTTATATTTTGTCTGGTGTTTTATTGAATTTATTTACTGAAAATTGTTTTGTTTTTTGTTACACCATACAGTAACTGCATTTATTTGACAACCACTGCTGCTACTTGTGTTGTTATTTTCTGAGAGGGGGCTTGTAATAAAGACATATTTCTCTAATTTCATAGAATACAGAGAGCTAGAGAGATACAAGAAAAGGAAAAAAGATGGGGATTGCTTGTTGGTTAGATTATTGTGAAATCAAAGAAACCTTTCAAACTTATTTAGTCTTTAAGTAGAAGGTGACCTTGCAAATCAATACATGACGCAGGTACGTTTGAGAAACCAGATAAATCAGTCTCAAGAGGAAGAATCCCACACATCGCCATTCCTTTACAAACACACGTTCATTGAGTCTCAGCTGCGTGAAGGCCACATGCCTGACATTCTGGTCTTTGAAATGATCGGACCAACAGTGACGAGACTTGGGCTGTTCATTGTAGTGTTCACTCCATTTGTGCTTCAGGTTCTGGACATATTGGATAAAGCTCGTTGTGTGAATGTCAGAAAGGAACCTTGTATAAATGGAATTACATCCACCTGACGTTGTCCACTCGTGACCTGTTTTTCTGTGATTGCCTCTCCTGCTGAAGAGCGAGTTTATATTTTTTGTCAATGACAATCAAGTAGTTCAATTCAATTCAACCATAAAACCAATTGGGGTCTTTACGTTGTTGTAAATAATGTTGTTATAGACTGTATGCTATTTTGATTTCTTATGTTTTGCGACAGTTTGTCCTCTAAATAATATAACATGTATTTAAAGGAATAACATTCTTTTTGAGCTAACAAAGCCTTTTCCTGACAAAATTTTCCTAATGGTGAACACTGCAATGATGTAATGTCAAATCCATCTCTATTTGATATTTCAGCTTAGTTGCGGTTTCATTACAAGACATATATGTCGAACGTTACAATATTTGAAAAAGATACATATGAAAAATTATATTAGACTGGATTAAAATTCCAACTTGTCAGTAATTCATAGGTATGATCTCCACAAACGAATGAACTGAAATTTGGGTTGGGCTCGTTGGTATCGAGCTCCTTATGTTTCTTATTTAAAGCATTCAGCAGCACTTTAGCCCCATGCTCTGCTCAGCCCAGTGCACAGCCGCCAGACAAACGCTGCCATTTGTTTCACTGATTGTGTTGCCAACGCCGAGACCAGGCCACACATGCTTTCATCTCTGCCAGTTTATGTACAATGTTAGAATTTAGTTTTGTATAATTGCAAAACAAAACACAAACAAACACTGAGTTCGTACAAAATAACTGACTATTAGTTGTCGTTGTCGATGTATTAATCCTTATATCAACGAGTTTCTCAAATGAAAATATAAAACAAAATCCTAATACGTCTGTCTCTGTGTTCTTTCAGAGCTGTGGAGATCTTTGCTGCTTGTTAAACTGCAGGCTTACATTTTTTTCTCTTTTCTTATTAGCTTTGGATCCTGTGCCTGCATTTGAGTCCTTAATAATAGAATAATAAATATTATTTACACATGTTTTAAATTGCTACATTCTGATTCTGAAATTGCATTGTGCTTGCAATTCCCACTGCAAATGTTGGTGGAACCATTTTGACTGTCGGACTACTTCTGATTTCTCATGACATTTTATTTACTATATATTTCATTCTTATTGCACTATTGTTATGTGTATTTAATAGTGTATACATTTTACTTTTGACACTTATTCCACTTTTTCCCATTTGATTTGATACTTTTTTTGGCTACATACTGTCTCAAAGTACAGTGGTATGCAAAATTTAACTTGTGCACGTTTGCTGAAATTATTACTTTGTGCTATGTTCTCACTGACAAATAGACAAACAGACAAATGCTTGGGTGAGTGGGCCTTGCAGATGTTTCTCTCTTTTCTCCCACCGTTTTTTTTTATTAGAGTTGTTCCGAAGACGAGGGCAGTGGTGATGATTCAGAACATTCGACATTCAACAACATTTTTGATCAATTAACACTTACGGACATTGGTTATCTGCCTCAATGGCTTTATGTGTTTTTTTTTTTATAATTGCATTCCTTGTGTCTGAACTATTCTTCTCTGATCTGCGTTTGGCAAATAGACAGCTTTGTATAGTCCTCCAAGATAACCACTGATGTGACTTTACAAAAATAAATTGAATTGAATTAAATTGTGATCACTTTACCCTGGGACAGAGATCACAAACAAAATGGGCATCTCTTGTTCTGATGAGACGTCGGTGAAAGAGCATCTTTGAGTGTCCAAAAAGTATTATTATTATCATTATAGTGTGTAACCATCGAATGTATTGTGTTGCAGGGTCAGAGCGCGGTGCGGCGCCCAGGACTCTGCTGCGAGGAGTGTGTCTGGCCCAAAGGCAGCTGTCTCTACGAGGGACTGGTGCGTTACCATGGCGACATGTGGAACGGTTCCATGGTACAAAATTACATACTTTTTACCCTAAAATTGATAAAGATTCAGATTTCAAAAGCACACGGGAATAAAACTAAAAAGTGCAGGAAACAAATTTAAATACAAGTACAAGATCATGAACTATCGATAGATTTTGAATTGAGTCTGGTATTTCTGAATCAAGGTGAAATATATTGGCAAAGAAAGCAGGTAAGAGCTTTTTAAAGTATGTCCTGAACAGTAATAATATATTGAACACTCCAAACATAAATAAATGATTGTATAACGTGTCCCACAACATTTGTCTCTGGTTTACATCCAGGGGTGGACAGAGGTGGTACGCATGCGCGACAAATATCAGAAATTTAACCCTAACCCGTTCCATCACTTTTGCGTACTTCTCATAGACCAGTCCTTCTCAAAAAGTGGGGCTAGTGGGGCGTGGTACAATGCCAGATAGGGTGTGTGTGATCGCGGGGCACTTGCTACTGTTTGCTGTATGTACTCGAACGGGATTCCAAATCCTCCGTGGCAGCAGCGTTCTGACTCCAGAGCCACTCCGGCTGCTTTGCAATGACAGCGGCTCCTTGACAACAACGCGGCGAGCACATAGCCAAACGTGGTGATAATGTACCCAGCGCGGCCCATTCTCTGCTTGTTGCAAGTGTGTGTCTTTGCGTAACGCAAAATAAATAAATACATATTGCGTTACTGCAAGAAACAGAGCTGGACTTTGGAGCCTTGAGGGAGTGTCCATGTCCTCCCTGTGTCTCTAAATTAAAGTTGTGGTACCTACATTTTCCCTTGCATTAATAATGCATAATAATTTTGGTTTTGCCCAAAAGTAAAATGTTGTGAACAAATCAAACAGAACATTTTTTTGTTGTTGCATTTTTAAGAAAGAGCCCTGTGAGTCATTAATTGACTTGGATTGAGTGGATTATCTGAGCTAATCTAAATTTTAGCATTAAAAAGAAGCAAGTATAAAATATTGATTAAGAACCACGCGACAAATGGAGTGAGCACCAAACACCATCTCCTGTTACTCATCTGAGAACCTCACTGAAAAAGTTATGTGCACCCCTGTTTATATCCCAGTAGTAGATATTGTTTAAGAATTACTTTGTGGTTTTGTTGTAACTTAAGATCAACTGATGTAAATACCAGTAAATTGTCAAGATTGGGAATGGTTTCAGAGCTGCTGCAGCCTTAAAGCTCCGTTCTGTACCCTCACATTCGCAGATCCAGTTGTGTCTCTGTTGTTGCCCCTAAAGTGTGTAAACAGCCTCTTTTCCATAATCCAGACTCTATACCAAATGGCGGGCCGCGGTCCAGGTCTGGACCCCGAGACCCTTTTCAAAAGTACATTATTACAATTATGTGTCAAAATTTCACCCAAAGCGACTTGTAAACAGGCAGGCGCAAGGGCGGCTATGTGGGGAGCGGGTCCTTCGGAGAAAACTATACGGAGCTTTCAAAATAACTTTAGCAGTGTCTAAATACAAGTACGATTTTTTTCAAATAGTTCTTACTACTGTATATGAAAGGAATAGCTTGAATGGATTTCTTTGAAATAAAATATTTGTATGATGTCGGGATGAAAAAATGTCTTCCTCCATTTTAGAGAGTGCCTCACAAAATTAAGTCACGGAAAGAGCTGTTTTGCATTTTTTTAAACAAAAGTTTTGATTAGTGTTGCCAATTTCCGTCAAATGACCACTGCAGATTCAGATTCAGATTTCATTTCATTTGCCAATTGTGGTAAAACCACATTGGAATACATTTGCGAGTCCCTAGTGTGCACCAGACAAATACATAAATAAAACAATGTAAGAAGAACAGGATAAAAATCTAAAATTACAGCTTTAACATATGCATATAATTGATATATAGTATGTTTTAATAAAGGGAACACACAGATAAACTTTCTTTATCCCCTTGTGTTTTTTTTACATTGATGACTAAAACGGTGTTCCTCATGTTATCCTCATATTTCTCTTCTAGCAGATTTGATCACAAATAATCTGTTGAATGTAATGTTTTTCAGCCTGGCCCTTCAGCATCCGGCTCTGGGTGTGAGTTCTGCTCCTGTAGCAGAGGACAGGTGCTGTGCCAACGAGCAGACTGCCAACAGGTCCACTGTCCACAGGTAAATATTCAAACTTAAACTTCTCTAAAGTCAAGGAATCAGTATCCCGACCTGCAATACGCAATTTTTCCAAAGGCAGATGATGTTGTTCTTTCTCACCTGTCACAAAATGCTCTGTGCTGAATCTTTTCGATCTGTTAGTTAATAGACAGTGCGGGGTAATTATTCACGAGTGAGGGAAAGATGGAGTGTGAGATTGACAGGCGGATTGGTGCAGCGTGCGCAGTGTTCTGGATGCCTCCTGGACGCCTCCCTGGGGAGACCTAGCACCCGCTGGAGGGACTTTGTCTCTCAGCTGGCCTAGGAATACCTTGGGATTGCCCCAGAGTTGGAGGAGGTGGATGAATGATTTCCATTTATAACACATAAAATGTCAATGTCAGGTTTTAGGAGAGCAACATGAATGTTCTGTTTTTTTATCCTTGAATCACACTCACAGTTTCTCTTTTACTTTTGGTATTATCCCTGCTCCAGTTCAAATTCTATTATTCAGAAGTGTTTTAAGTCAATGAATTCTTGAAATGCTCTGTTCTTCTTTTGGACCTGAGAGGGTGAACTTTGGCACAAACTTTGCTGCAGTTTCCTGACTGCTCTGTCTTTAAGGATTTTAGTTTGAGAACTCGTCCCCTGGAGGAGCAGCCGAAGCACAGGACAGTCATCCCTATTTCTTTTCCTATGGTTTATTTGCTCATTTTACTTTCTGAGCTCCGTGAAGTTGGACTTGAAGAGGAGGTGGTGAGCTTGAGTGGGCCAAAGTTCAGACAGAAGAAAAGGAAAGATTGCCCTTGCATCATCACAATCTACTTCCAGGAAAAAACAGCACACTTCTGAAGAAATTTTCTGATTTTGTCGTGTATTTACACTTATTACTTACCATGTTTCAAATTCAAATCATTTCCGTGGATATTATACAATAAAAAAAAATTTTGTTCTAAAATGACTCGATAAAATCCGTGCCGGTGTTGCAGTGCATGCACTTTACGAAACAGTAGGAAAAACAACAAAACCAATCAAGATAATGATGGGATAAAAACAAACTAACTCAATTCTACGTCATAGTGCTACGCCCCTTAGGGCTACGCTATGGGTATGACTCTTGAGGCACCTAACCTCCGCCAGAGAGATCGGAGATCCAATGCTCCAATCACGAGCGAGCTCCTCCTACTGCCGGCGTCGGACGGAAGAAATGCAGCAAATGCGCGGCGAGACTTCGCCCCAGGGACCAGCATGACCGTTGCTTCCTTTGCCTGGGCTGGAGCCACTCTGCAACCAGCGCTGACTGCAGAGTGTGCCTCTCTCTGTCCCTGCCATGGCGGCCCGCACAGACTCCCCCTAGAAAGTGGAGTCTCCGAAGCCGCTGGCCCCTCACGACCTGTCTCCAGTGCCCCAGGAGTTGGGAGACTGCGTGGTGGAGGAGGACCGGAGCAACGGGGAGGCTTTCCTCTTCACTGTGGTCGAAGACCTGTCGTGGATCAAGGGGCAGGACCGTTTCCCGCTCGACCACATGCCCCGCCTCTTTCACTCTGCTTCCAGTAGCATGGAAATCCCCCTCCCACCGCAAAACACGATGACAGCGAGGGACTTCACCTCGGTGGGAGCTCCGGAGTCTGGAGCCAACGCTGTGTCCGCGGATGGACCCGGTGTTCCATTACGCGACCCGGAACTGGTCCAAACCCCTGGGGGCCAGGCGTCCAGCGCTGGGGTACGGCCCGTACTGCTCGGTCCACGAGTGGTCCTGGTCCGGAGGCGTTCCAGACATCGAGGACGCGGTGAGGCTGGCTCTGCTCCCCGCGTCCTCCCTGTGGCCAGGCAGCAGACCGCTTCTTCCCTCTGAGCGGGACAGAACGATGATGTCTTTCCTGGATCGTTGCTATGCCAACGCGGCTCAGGTCGTCGCGTTGGCCTGTAACATGGCTTTCCTCACGGGGGCTCTGGACAAGTCTCTCCCTCCTTTCGCCGGAGGAAGACGGGGGGGGCAGAGGAAGTTTTAATGAAGGCCGTTTTAGGGCCTGTTACCCCTTCAAAGAGTATGCTTCTCCGTTATTGTTGCATGACAAGCCTTCACAGGTAGAAGGTAGATTCTCACGCTCACTCCAACCCCGCCTGACTAGCCTTGGAATCCTGCGGTCCCACAGGGGAGACTCGCAGCGTTCAGCCGGGCTAACGTTTCGGTGATTGCTGGCAGGGTCCAGGCCAGGGCCCCGAGCTCAGACCAGGGTGGTAAGTTAGCACGCTCCAACGCTCTCTCGTGCAGGCGGTGCAGGGTGCTGTCTCTGCAGGGGCCAGGGTGAAGGCCCCACTTCATTCAGGCCTGAGCAGGGAGTCAATGAGTTCTTCTCTCGTGGCTGCTAGTGCCTTACCCTCCTGTAGAGGCGTTAAGCGCAAGAGTCTGGGGGAGACTAGGCCTCGAGTCGCGACGGGGAGTGGGACGGACGGGTTTACCTTGCCCTTTGGTCAGCCCCCCCCCTTCTCTGGGAGCGCCGGTAGGGGGTGGGGTTCTCGAGACAAGTGCTCCGGGCTCGGTGCTCCCGCTCACGGAGTTCTACCACTTTTGGATAGAGGAAGGCCTTCTCTCAGACGCGTGGACAGGAAGCTGCGCAGGGGTTAGGGCCTGCAGTTCGCGCGGAAGCCACCCCAGTTCCAGGGCATCCGCGCGGCTCACTCTATGGTGCGTGGGTCAGAGGAGGCGCTCCAGCTGGAGGTCTCCTCCCTTTTGAGGCAAGGCGCCACGGTGGAAGTGAACCCGCGAGACGCCTCCAGGGGCCTCTACCCCCCGTATTTCCTGGTCCCCAAGAAGACCGGTGGAGTGCGCCCCATCTTAGACCTTCGCACACTAAACGAGTGCATTTCCAAGTGCCTGTTCCGCATGCTCTCCACCAAGCAGCTCCTCGAGTGCGTCAGACCCGGAGACTGGATGTCCTCCATCAATCTGACAGACGCTTACTTCCACGTAGCGATTGTGGCGGAACACAGGAAGTTCCTGCGCTTTGCGGTGGGGGGGAGATGCTACGAGTATTGCCGTCTCCCGTACGGGTACGCTCTGGCTTCTCGCATCTTCTCCAAGTCCGTGGAGGCGGCGCTGGAGCCGCTTTGTCGCAGGGGGGTCAGAATATTGACCTACATAGACGATTGGTTAATTCTGGCCCCGTCCAGGGAGGAGGCCGCAGAGCATACACGCTTGGTCCAGTCCCACATTCAGCTTTTGGGCTTTGTGGTAAACAGGGAGAAGAGCAGGCTGCAACCTGCTCGACGCATACTTTACCTCGGTCTGCAGCTGGACTCGGTCAGATTCCGGGCTGCTCTGTCCGAGGACAGGCGAGAGAGCATCACTTGCCTGGCCAGGGAAGCTGTCACCACCCCCAGGCTCGGAAGCTCAGATTGCTTTGGGTTTCTCGCACCGCGGTGTCGGACATCAGATTCTGGCTCACCCCGGGCTTCATGCGGGACGGGGTTCCGTTGGACGGGACCGTCTCGCATGTGGAGGTGTTCACAGACGCCTCACTAGAGGGGTGGGGCAGGGTCCTGGGCCAGAGCTCCGTAGACTTTGCGCCACAGCTGAAGGGGAAACATGTGATGGTGCGTTCAGACAACACAACGGTGGTGGCTTATATGAACAGACAGGGGGGCACGAGGTCCCCCTCCCTCCATCGGTTAGCAGCGACCATTTTGCTCTGGGCTGCGATTCACCTGAGTTCGCTGAGGGCACGCCACGTGCGGACAGGATGTCCAGGGGGGCCCTCTCCGGGACGAATGGGGCCTAGCCCCACCGGTGGCAGCGTAGGTCTGGCGGAGGTTCGGACGGCCAGTGGTCAACCTTTTCGCCAGTGCAGAAAACGCTCTGTGCCCGCTCTGGTTTGCGCTCAGGGCCGCAGAGGACCGAGCCTCTCGGGGTAGACGCTCTGGCTCACTGTCCTTGGCCAGCGGGTGTCCTGTACGCCTTCACCTCCTGCCGGTCCTCCTGGGGAGGATCGAACAGGAGGGTCTGTCAGTGATTTTGGTCGCTCCGGACAGTCCGCATGCTCGTTGGTTCCCGTTTCTGACGAGCCTGGCGTAATGGATTTGTGGGCCCTTCTGGACGAGCCCGGGGCTCTAGTCCAAGGGGGACGCTCCACTCGCGCCTGGTGCTCGGCCACAGACTCCTGGTCTGGAGGCTGAGAGACAGAACCTCGTAGACTTGGGTCTTCCCCTGTCAGTGGTGGATAACGTTCAGGGCGCAAGGGCGCCCTCGACGGTCAGAGCCTATGGCACCAAGTGGAGGCTCTTTAGGGACTGGTGCGCTATGTGTCCTCTGGAGGGAGTTCTGGGATTCCTGCAGGAACTGCTCAATAAGGGTAGGGCTGCCGGCACCCTAGCGGTCTTTGCGGCAGCCATTGCGTTGGGTCACAGTGGTTTTGCGGGTTTTTCTGCCCGCTCCCATCCGTTGATCAAGCGCTTCCTGAGGGGGGCCCGCAGGAAGAGGCCCTTGCCCAGGAGAAAACCCCCAGTGTGGGACTTGAAAGTGGTCCTAAGGGATTTGTCTGGACCGCCCTTCGAGCCGGTGGCCCAGGCTAGCCCGGAATGTGTGTCCTTTAAGACGGCCCTCTTGTTGGCCTTGGCCTCGACCAAGAGGGCGGGTGATTTGTGCGCACTTTCTGTTCATCCTTCCTGTCTGTTGTTTGGCGCAGGGGACGGATTGGTTGAGCTATGGCCCAATCCTGCATTTCTCCCTAAGGTCGTTACGTCGGGTTTTAGGTCTAGAGTCATCAGGGTCAGGCCTTTCTTTCCACCGGGGTCTCGGTGGAAGACATCTGCCAGGCGGAGTTTTGTTCTTGGTCTTCTACTTTTGTCCAGTCTTATCTTATGAATGTGTCAGACCGGTCAGTCGCTCACTCTGTTTTGAACGGTGTGGACTGATGTGTTGGGACCGATAGGTGCTCTTGCTAGAGGTGGCCTGCGGTCCAATGTGTGTTAGCCGTTCCCGTTCGGGAGCTCTTGTTAGAGGCGTCCTGGGTTACGGCTTGCCCTTGGGGTTCCCCTGGGGCTTTGTTATACAGTGTGCGGTGGGCGTCCTTGTTAGGAGTGGCCCTAGTACTCTGATATTTTCCGTTTCTGCCCTGAGTCCGTTCACCTGGGAGGTGTTGGGTGAATAGGGTAGTTCTCCAATCACTCTACGCTGGCCTGATGGGAGTACATGTTCCTACGGCCTACGCGTGGTTACCCATAGCGTAGCCCTAAGGGGCGTAGCACTAGGTCGTAGAAATATTAGTTACCTAATGTAACTGTAGTTCTACGGGCCCATCAGGCCAGGCTGGCTTTGGCTGAGTTCAAAGTGGCAGTACGGGCCTGAGTGGGGCTATTTATAGGAGGAGCTCGCTCGTGATTGGAGCATTGGATCTCCGACCTCTCTGGCGGAGGTTTGGTGCCTCAAGAGTCATACCTATAGCGTAGCCCTAAGGAGCAACTGCACCTATTCGTAGAACTACAGTTACATTAGGTAACTAATATTTATACCACTGTAAATGTCACGCAGACAAAGCAGCAGATCACGGTGTTGGGCATTCATTTTTATCTTCATTTAGTCTGCACAATGCCATCTTATGAGCATCACTGAAAACAAAATCACAAAAATTGTGCCTGTTTATAGCCTGAGAATATCTACACCTCTGTGTTGTGCTAAAAAAATGTCTAACTGCACAACCGCCTGGAAATTTGAGCTGAAATGTTCACATGGATTTGAGAACAATCACAGAATGGGGAGGGTTGGCAAGATAACGATGGGACGCACTATTGGAGAGACGGAAGCTTGACGCTTATTTACGGATCCTTCATGATGGCAGCAGACACTATCTTCCCTCATGTTTAAGCTACATTCCGACACCATTCGTCTATTCCACTTCTTTCCCTCTCTATGTATTTGTGCAGACACATATGATAGACATTCATAGCACCCAATAAATACACCTATACTATGACAAAATTAACGAATGTCTGAAGTTCAGACCTCAGACCTAGTTCAGATTCTGTACCTCCACCCGTACATGCCTGTAAATTTCTTGTTTCTGTTTCATTTTCTTTGTGATAATTTAATAAGCCACTATCAATTGACTATAGGCTGACTTTTCAGAAAGAGATTCATACCTGCTTCTTTGTTCACCAGACCTGCCTCTTAGTTTTCATTGTTTTGTATCAAAATCTGATGTTCATTTTGTATGGGCCCTAGGAGGACGAGCAGTCACCTTGTGGGAGATGTGGATCCATTAAAGATTCTAATGATTAATCGGTGGCCCAGATTTTATGACCACACAAAAGCACAAGAGTCTTATTTATAATTTGATTGCTGTAAGCTTGGTTTAGTCTAGGTCCAAACAGAGCACAAGTTAGACCCAGGGCACAGTAACCTTGGACTAAAACCTGGACCAGGGCCAGGTCTCTCACAGCTAATGACTCTGATCTGATTATACCCAGCACTGATGCATGAGCCCCATTAAAACTGTCCTGGAATGTGCTTATACTGGAGAAAGTCCTGCTTCGGCCCTGGGTCTACTCTACTCCTGAGCTGCTTTTTGCACTGTTTGGTTCCCTGGTTAGTCCTGGTTTACTCATCGTCCAGTCTTGGTTCTTGGCATTAGATTACTTTGTGATAGTTCATATTCAACTATACCACACACAGTTAGACACCAGTGATAATGGAGTAACAGCCAGAAGACCAATTTAATTGTAATAAATGTATAAAGTGAACACTGGCCACTGTCTTCCTTCTAAAAACTTTAAAGACATGTATTAACACGAGGACTCCCAGAATACTGAATCTATTAGAACTCCCAGAACTGTCATAAACGGTGTGTTGCTATGGCACTTAATATTCTCTGGTGGACAATGACTCCTAACATTTTAAAAGTAAAATATTATTTCATAAAAAATGACAGAGAAAAAGCCACAGAGTTATGATAAATGCACATGAGATGAGAAATTACACTTCTAAAACTAAAAGTTGTCAAGTTGACTGCTCTGGCCGTTAAAAATACAAGTTAATTTACTGTGTTATTAGTGGCAGTGTACATCATTAAGGATCTTGTCCTTTTACCGGGCCTTGAAACTGATATTTTTTTAGCACTGAACAGCACTGAATGGAAATAAGATTTGTTTTTTACAAATATGCAAATAATTAACATTTCCGGTAGGTCGATAACAAGGGAACACCGTCCTCACAAGAATGCTGTTAGTAGGAGGAGTACCCAAGGGTTACCAAGGAATATATTGTGTTATTTCTTTGTAATAAAGATTTGTGTCATAGATTGTTACTTAATATATATGACACTTGGGCTGAGAGCAGTTTTGAATACTAAAGAAGTAAGATCTATAATGATAATAATCTAATACATTTGATTTAAATTGTACCTTACATTTCCACTAATCCTCAATGTGCTGGAGATTAAAATAATCTTTGGTCTCTAACATGGATCTAAATCTGTGCTAGAGACCAAAAGAACCATGAATTAGAAAACCAAAAAAGAGCAACTAACTATGTCACATGTCACAAAACATATAAATGTATAGGACGCATCGCCGGAAATGACTGTATGGAGTCTGAATTTGAAATGAGCGGTGATAGGTGCCAGTTGAAACTGATGTTTTTTGAGCACTGAACAGCAATATGTGTATATGTATAGTGCTATATATATATATATATATATATATATATATATATATATATATATATATATATATCTATGTACATAATGTTCCTCCATAATTAGTTGACTTGAAACCTACAGAAAGTACTTCTTGTTTTGTTCATGGTGTGACTTCCTTTGGCTTGTTCATTCTTTATCTGCGTTACTCCCTCTTTCTTTATTTCATTGATGAGGATTCATTCACCGGTGGCTGTCCGTCTTGGGCCTGATTGAGCCGGTTTTGTCGCTGGTTGATCTGGTATAGTGTATGTACAATGTAGGTCAGTGTACTCTAATCCACGCGTCTCTATGGAAAGGGGCTGAAATAATCCTTTTGTGATCCTGCTCTTTTACTCTGGGGCTGGACTTTCCTTAAAAGACCGGTGCGACTGCTTAACCCTCTGAGCGGAATTTACATAAAAACAATACGCTGCATATTAAGAGTTTCCTTTCTTGCAAAATCTTCTGAAGAAAGTCTCAACGTCTCATTTCACTTTTGAGGAGCAATATTACTTTGTTCATTCACAGTCATATGTTTTCATGCGTTTCTTCTGAGGCTTGACAACTGTGAACATAACACATCCATATACAGTACACTTATCCCCATCCCCACATTCTGGTACTTGAATAAAGACCCTGAATGAGTAGTTCCAAACTTTTTCCAAGGATTGCTTCTAAAAACATAAATCACCACCTACCTGAGAAACACCTCTATATCATCAATATTCACTTTATCTTTGGGGACCCACATTTATATGAAGGAACAGAAACAGTTAGGCCCGCTTTTGTTGTCTTATGGCATCAGGAAAGACATATTTAAAGTTTCAGTCCCAAGTTCAGGGTCCAGGCCCAAGTGAACCAGAGTTCTACAGAATAAGTATCTTGGCCCTTATTGGTTCACTTATAGTTCACTTGGGACTGAAGTGTGAACACACCCAGAGCCATTCGACTTCCCAATGTAAAATGTATTAACTATAAGATTTCTCTTCATAAAAGTCTCCTTTCGGGTGACAAATCCTCTCTCCAAATCTCTAATCACTGTGGGGAGCTGCTCTTTTAGTGAGGGGGATAAGAGGGGGTAAGGTCTGTGCCATCAGACGAGCACTGCTTTACAGCTGTAGTAAAATGATGACAGCACGGTGCATTTTTTTGGTTTTGTGATGTGTTTTTTTTTATTTTATTTTTTATCTTGTCCCTATTTTGCATAATGTTATTTGTCAACTCCAGGATATCTAGCGTGCATCTGGAAGGCAGGATTTAGTTTTTTAAATAGAGTTTTTCCTTGCCGATGCAGGAGGGTCTAAGGACGGTGGTGATGATCCAGGACACTCAACATTCAATACTCGAATTTCAACAAATTTATGGACATTGGTCATCTGCCCCTTATGGACCAATGGCGCTATGTATTCTTTATCATTGCATTTCTTGTGTTTGGACTGTCTGATTCTCTGATCTATGTTGCCGATTTAATGGTTGTGTAAAGTCCTGTAAAAGATTACATTGAAGTGAATTGAATTAATTGAGTCCTTTGTCCTCTGTGATTCCAGGGCTCTGATTTGGTGATTGAGGAGGGGAAGTGCTGTCCTGTGTGTTCCTCTGAGAAACCTTTCTGTGTGCACCATGGCAAAACCTACAAGGTACTAACTTCTACTGCTTCTACATTCCACTGACACCTGAATTTCGACAGTCCCCTTTTCTTTTAAGCAATGAAGTGGAAAGAAGAGTCAAACTACAAAGAGCCTTTTAGAATAGGAGTAGCTGACAACAGATGGGTCGTAACAAGACTCCTTCCTTCTCCAGACCTTGTAATCTTTGTTCTGGTCCCACAAACTTTAGAAGGTGGACTGAGGATCATGTCACCTGTAACTAGACGATGTTTTAGGAGATCTTGCAGACGGCAGCAGGAGCCCTAAAGACACATGATTTGTCAGAAGTGTATCATCTGATATTTTTTTTTTTTAAATGGTTCAGTGCTTGCTTGTTGGCTGTACATCTACAAATACTCATATTTTTTCCCAAGTGAACCAGGATTTGTTCAGTTAAAGATAATCAGACCTGTGTGAATATCTTCTTCAGATGTGTGAAGACATAGAATAATCTGAAACAATATTCTGTCTCACAGTTGCAGAGTGACATAGTTGCATATATGGAGTCACTCACGATATATGTAAACGACATGGCTGCATCCCAATTCAACAAACAAGCCTCCAACCTTACATCTTTTTTCTTCTCATTTTAAATACATACATAGTCATAAACTCTTATTTTCCTAAAATGTCATAAACTCTCTTGAGAAATCAGCTTGAGAACTTGAATATAAAACTTTAACATAAATCAGTGATATGTCCATTTTATTTTCAATTAAGAATACATTCCAATTAAAGTTTTATCAGAAAAGGTCAAAAAATATTTCTGAGAAAATGAGAACTATTGCATTTGCAATAATGTCACCAGATTCTCACCACATCCGCCCACATCCTCTCTGTTCCTGGTCGACACATAGCACCAGCGGCTCATGACAGCACTGTGTGTTTGGTCTCTAGTCTGTGTTCTCACTGCTCTGTCTCTCTTCAGGCCCTGTCTCGCTGGTCCGAGGACAGCTGTCGTGAGTGTGAGTGTCGTGCAGGTCATGTGACCTGTTACGTGCGCTCCTGTCCCACGTGCACGCCCGGCCTCCTGTCTGTGACAGTGGAGGGACAGTGCTGCCCGCAGTGTCAGCAAGGTAACACTAACACCACTCACTTTTGTATGTTTGAACACTTCACTCTGAGTATTCATCCGTTCTTCCTTTGGTTCTGTCGTCCTACTTGAGTTTTAGTGGAAATGGCTGCTCCAAAGTTTGATAATGTTGACATGTTTTAATATTTGAATTGGCCAGCATGATATAAAAGCAGACCATCTTTTTTTGGCAACTGCAAGGAGGCTGAAGAGCCAACAGTGAGCTTAGTAATTCACTTCACTCCAATTTTTGCATTGGAACACTAGCAGCAAACACGGCCAAATATGGACTAATCATTACTAATGAATCCCATGTCAAATTAATCAGACAACTAAAAATAATTGGGAACGGTCGAGAAATGAAGACAGAGGCAGCAGCGATTGCACCTGTAACCTGGTTTATTTTTGAGCCTCTCCAGATCGAACAAAAGGAGACAAAGCTTTTTACTTATGATGTGTATCAATGTGCATACAAACAGAGACGTCAACACTTGAGATATTACTGACACCGATGCTTCAGATACAAATACTAGTAACAATGTGGGTCATAACAAATACATTCAAGTGTTCAGATAATAATGTTGAGCAGTAATACAGATATAACAGAGACTATAGTTCAAAAAAATGCAGGCTAGATTCCACAGAACTTTACTGGTCTTTTCTACTCGTAACCCTATCTCATATGAGCGTCTGGCCAGTTGGATAAAGCAACAAGAATCATAATACACAATTCTAAAGTAGAATTGCAAATGTCAACCAGACTGGGTCCTGCTGAATAGTTGAAAGTTGCGACTGTAGCTATAGATGTTAAAATAGTACAGTATAGATGTGGTGTGTGTGTGTGTGTGTGTGTGTGTGTGTTTTCTGTGTGTGTGTGTGTGTGTGTGTGTGTGTGTGTGTGTGTGTGTGTGTGTGTGTGTGTGTGTGTGTGTGTGTGTGTGTGTGTGTGTGTGTGTGTGTGTGTGTGTGTGTGTGTGTGTGTGTGTGTGTGTGTGTGTGTGTGTGTGCTGTGATAAAACACTACATACGGGTTTATGCCCCAGGACATTTATTATACATGGATCATATACTGTGCATAAGTGTAAAGTGGACGAGCAGGAGCACTGAGGCCAACACAGGGTAAACCGGGTTATAGCAGGAGGAAATCAGGGCTAAATTGACAAACTCAAGTTAAAGTGCTTGTGACAGGCTACTTCGTCCAGCGCTATTTAATGAAACCACTTTGATATGTTATAATTTGTATTACTATTACTATTGTTTTATTATAGTCATTTTTTCTGCTGCTAAAGTACAATATAAACATCTGTATATATTGCACTTTTCACGGCATAAATTTCATACACAGTTGAATCAATTATCTCAAGTTTTCAATTAAATGATGTATTATGATACAACTTGTATGTAGTAAAAAGCATTTTTATGAACTACATAGAAAAAAAATCGGGTATAGCTTCTTTAATACGTTAAATTCTAAGCCTATGAATACAATTCAAAAACATGGTGGAGGTAAATATTCTTAAAAAGGTCACATTTGTTATTAGTTAACATGTTTTTGCATATGGAGCAGCGTTAAAAATTACAGGGTGGCTTTAAGGATCTTCTTAAATTTCTTCTCAAGTCGTTCTCAAGTAGATTTCTAATAAGACTCTAAGTGGGATTCATCAACGCGCTCTTAAGCCGCTGAATTGTTCGCAGCTGTTCTTTTAGATTGATGAATACCTTCTCCTCAAAAGTAGAGCCGTTCGTGCCAGGTGAATCATTGGCATAGGTAACCGCCCATTAATGCCCATAAAAGGGACTGCAGGGCCGTGTGCAAACACCAGCGGAAACAGCAACATTATGCAAAGAGTTATACGTTGGTAGAGCATTGGCCTTTGGGCCTGGAGGTTGTGGGTTCGAGCCCACCATGAGACCTACTTCACAACTCCCACTGATGACTGCTGTTGTTGCGTCCTTGGCCAAGACACTTAACCCTACTTTGCCTGGAACCCCCGCTGGAAGATCAAGGCTCCTGTGGACCACCTGCTGGAGGATCAGTGAGGGGCTGGTGCTCTGTGTACTGCGTGCAGCTCTGACTGACACCCCCCCCAACCCAGAAATGGACTAAGGGGAAGAAAATGGATGGATAAAGTCGAACTAGCAAAATTATGAGATTAATCTAAAAACATTATGAGATTAATTTCAAATTATATTATGTATTCATTTAGATAATAATCTCAAAATAATATGATATTAATCTAAAAATGTTATGAGATTAATCTTAAAATATTTTGGACCCTGGGAGGAGATCCAGCGTGGACCAGCGCTGAGACCAATGCAGACCCAAGGAGAGACCATAGACTGGAGAGACCATAGACTGGAGAGACCAGCGCGGACCCGTAGTAGATCCATGGGAGGGACCAGCGTGGACCCGTATAGATCCATGGGAGAGACCAGCGTGGACCCGTGTAGATCCATGGGAGAGACCAGCGTGGACCCGTATAGATCCATGGGAGAGACCAGCGTGGACCCGTGTAGATCCATGGGAGAGACCAGCGTGGACCCGTATAGATCCATGGGAGAGACCAGCGTGGACCCGTTTAGATCCATGGGAGAGACCAGCGTGGACCCGTGTAGATCCATGGGAGAGACCAGCGTGGACCCGTTTAGATCCATTGGAGAGACCAGCGCAGAGACTCAGCGCGGGCCCCGCAACCTCCTGCAGAAGCAGTATATATGCCATTGTTTTGTTGCCTGTGGTTGGAGAAATAGACGGCATGATGTATGTATTTTATGACTTTTTATCTTAATTCTATACATCTATATGACAAACATATCACTGTGCTTTTTGATTAGTTCTTACTTTAGAGAAACACGGACAAATTTGTTACTAAGAACGGTTCTTGAATGAGGCCCGATAACTCTATGCTAAAAGAAAATCAAATAAAATGCAATAAAGGTTTATCTTTACTTACATTTCTGAATAAAAACAGACTTTTGAGCAACTGAGCAGACCTGATTGCCGCAAATGTCTGGATTGATAAAAAACCAACCTCAGACTGTGTGTATATGGATGTAATGTAGCAGAGTCCATTACTGGGTGTGTACAGGTGAGGGAAATGAGACACTAAATTGTTTTAAATAAAGTTTATTAAAGATTGGGTTTTAATGTAAACGTGCAACCTGTAATTACTCACCTTTTTGTTTCCTGTTTGTCTAGCACCTAAAGAGGGTTCCGGGTGCATCCACTCTGCAGAGAGGAGGGGTGTCCTGGGTTTTATTTTTTGACTTGAGTAATGTGGTAGAAATAATAATTCACTGCTAAATTAATAAAGAGATATATTTTTGTAATTTTGTAGAGGATATATTCACTGCGTTAATTATTGCTGTATTTTGAGCTGCAGTGGGTGTGGTCTAATTGCTGTCACCTGCTATAAGCTGAGCTGGGAGAGTGCTGGTGGGCATGCTGTCCTGATTTGTACCACAGAAATGTAAATCCTGTCAATAAATTGGCACCTGATCTGCACCGGAAGCTGCCTCTGTTCAACTTTGTTCCTCCAAACCTCCTCCAAAGTGCCATCCTGACATGACAGGTGTCACAATGGATTTGAAGGTAAAAAGCGGTGAGAGGAGCAAATAGTCTACATTGAATATATTATTTGATTTCCCTATCTGTGGACATAGCGTGAAAACAAGCTCTACTGAGTCATGTATCATTAGTTTGGCTGCACATTCATCCTCGTGCACTGAGCCCTGCCTCTGAGATGATGCTAGACACAGATGTGACCCATAACCTTTTTTAAACACGCTCACATATTCTTCCAACCTTCACATATAATCGCTTCTAGCTCTGCATAGGACATAGGCGTGTGGGCTGTAGTTTCTCTCACAAAAGTCTGCAGACAAAAAAACAATAAAAACTAAATCTGCAGAGGAGATAGATAAGAAAAGATAAGATCAATTCTCACAATGGTAAAATGTACATGTTACATTTGTCATAAATATCATCACTCAGGGTGTGCAAAAAGACAGGTAATTGGCAAACATGTAAAAAAGTAAAAATATGTCATGTGCAACAAAAGTGACTATAGCAGTGCAAGTTTGCAGTCCTAGTGCAGATCGTCTTCAAGTTAAAATCTCCTGCATGTTCCTCTCAAACAGATCAAGATTGTACACTGCAAACATAACGGACTATAATACAAGCTTGCATTAGTTTTGCAGTCATTGATTGGACAAACGCAGCCATAATGGATCTTTATGTTGTTTTCCTTCATCCAAAAACACCTTGCTTTGCCCTAATTGAAACGTCCCCTATATTGTGCTCCGTATCACTTCCATACAATGCCTGTTTTCTCACAATCACTGCCTTAATCCTTTCCCTCCTCCTCCTCCTCCACTCCGACTGCTGCTGTGATTTAGTGCTTGAGGGATTCTTCCGGCTCGCTGCGCTTGGAGAAATTAAAACTACAGCGAGAGCTTGTGTGTAAACAACCTGCTTGCTGAATGCGAATCCGTCCTCCATCTTTGTCAGGGCTAACGGCCGAGGTGTAAGCAAAGAGCACGCAGACTGAGCGCAGGATAACTCCGGGAGGCTTAGTGTGATTTATGTTGGAGAAATCACCGGCTGCTGCTTAGATGGGGGTAGATACAGGGATTTCAGTGTGTGTGCACACACACAGGGTTAAGGGTATTTGGATTGTTTACAAACATGCAGCAAAACACCTTATTTCTTAAAAAACTAAATTTAGAGTTATAGGCTTCACAGCAAGAAGCTCCTGGGTTCAATTCCACCTCCAGACCTTTCTTTATGGAGTTTGCATGTTCTTATTTGCGTAGGTTTCCTCCGGGTGCTGCAGTTTCCCTTATCACTAAAGACATGGACAATAGGTCTGGCTCCTATGGACCCAACATCCATCTCTGTGAGGAGTGATAGGACAAGTGTAACAACAATTGTAAAGCGCTTTTTGACTCTGGTTTGTGAAAGGTGCTATATAAATAAAGATTACTTACTTACTTACTTACTTACAACTTATCCCATTTTCTAGAAGCCGAATCCTTCTATGTGAGGAATTTCTCAATTTTCTGAAACCAGAGCATAGATTGCATAGATCATGATTACAGAAACGCTTGCATCATCACTTCGCTTCCACTCACTCATTAAAGATGCAAAATAAAGTGTAGCCCTGCGTCTGGTTCCACTGGAACTCAAGTCCAAACCAAGACGCTCCTCTAGTGATCCAGAGGAATGTTCTGCACATGTGGAACCTTGCCATATTTCATCCATGAAATGATCTCATAATGTTACTCAAAATCCTATGTCACAGAAATACAGATTGGAGAATCAAACAATTCAAATAAGAATTTGTTTAACAGGAAGGAACAGGATGTCGCAAACAAGGAATTTGCTTTGTATTATGTTTCAAGTTATAAGAGTAAACAATAGATAGAAATGTACTGTATGCATAAAGAATCTCTATAAACATAGTTTCTAATAATGTCTACTTTATTCAAGTGCATTGTTAGAGTTAACAGCGCAGGTTAAAGTGACAGTAGCATAAGGTGGTGGTCGTAAAGAACGGTCTTCAGGGATGAGTTATGAAATTCTTCATGAGTCCAACTCCAGATGAGAAGAATCTGATCTTATGGTGAGAGATTGTGGTCCGGATAGGCCGTAGCCTCCTGTCTGAGGGGAATGATTGGATTAGTCCATGGGCAGGAGAGAACGCTCACCTGAACAACCAGCCCGGCCTCGAGCTCGGGCAACATACAGATCCTGCAGTGATGGAAGCTGCCGCTGATCAACTTCTCAGAACATCGCAAACACAAGAATAATAGTCATTGGTCCATATGTATTCATACACTCGTATGTCCTGGATTATCAACAGTCATTACACCCTTCTGCATCGATGAGGAAACCTCTAAAACCCAGTTTGAGAAAGTTTAAACACCCCTGTCTGTCCTCATTAGTGCGGTGCAACTCGGACTGCTCTTCCTGCTCTGGACGTCCCGATAACTGTGAGAGCTGTTCTGACCCCAGTGCAGTGCTGCACCTGGGTCGCTGCCTGCCCCACTGCCCCCCTGCTTTCTACCAGGACAAACACCAGTGTAAAGGTGAGAACAGAAAACTTTATTTTCCTGCATTTAATTTAGCTGTGCAGTGTCTGCTCATATTTGGTTCTAGAAAACTAATGCTGGTCTTATGACCAAGGAAAGAGAGTGATGGGCGAGAGGTGTAGGGTCAGAGAGTGTTGGGACCTGTGTATTTTCTGAATGTGTTTGTTGAAACCAAATAAGCTTCTGTTTTGTCCAACCCTTTTTTAAAATGGTACTTTGCTTTTTAATTTTGTATCCTATTTATTGTTGTGTCTTGTACACATACATTTGAAATATTACTCTATTACATACTAAACCCTGCTTCAGGCTCTAGCATAACTAATTAGTCACAACTAATGACTTAAGTTAAGATAGAAAACATTAAATTTGGCAAACTGTCTACACTTTTATAGAATTCTAGATTTACACAAAGTGACCTCATGATGACCCGACTGTGCATTATATCTACATGTGACAGAAAGTTGTTGTTGTTACTGATGACAATATTCCATAAAATCCTTTTTCTGATCCAAACATTCTGTTGTTCTCACATTACTTTGTGAGAACATCTAAGCCTAATTTGGAATTGGCACAAAATGCACTTTTTGAGGTGGAGATGTGAACATGGTGACTGCCAAGAACTCTGAGGGACTCATTATCTGATATGAAATGTGCAGCTGTACGTTTGGGTCAATATTTCCAATTGGAGACAAAAAGAAACTGCTCTTCCTCGGTTTGTTAACTCGGATAATAGCGTTTGTGATGCTGGTTTCAAATAGGAAATCGTTTAAACCCTCACCTATGGATCCTCTCCTTTCAAACGAGAGTCTGAAAATAATAATGGCGAACAGGAGTGGTTAGAAGAACAGCTCATCGCTTGAGACAAAAGAGCACTGTTAAGATTTGTAGACATTATTTAATTATGGATCTAATTAAATCCGTAATCTATTCACACACAGTGGCTCAGTTAGTAGAGCATTGGCCTTAGAGCCTGAAGGTTGTGGGTTTGAGCCCACCACAATACCTACTTCACGACTCTCACTGATGACTGCTGTCGTTGTGTCCTTGGGCAAGACACCCCCACTTTGCCTGAAGCCCCTGCGGAATAATTAAGGCTCCTGTGGACTCACCACCGGCAAGAGGATCAGTGAGGGGTTGGTGCTATGTGTGCTGGGTGAAGCTGCCACCCCCCGACCCAGAAATGGATTAAGGGCAAGAAAATGAATGGATGGATGGATCTATTCACACACGATTAGGGATTAGATGAACTTTGGGACAAATGTGATGTCAATTGGAACTAGTTTATACTCAACTTGTTTTTGTGCAATTTGGACAACAAGTTTAAAATTATATTCATTGGAATCACTTACTGTGTACATAAATATCCAAAATCAAATCAGTTTTCAAAGTTCAAACTTCAACTTTATTGTCCCCGTAGTGAATTTTGTCTTAGGCTCATGGCTGTTGGACACAAACACACAAAAAAGGTTAAATAATTCCCCTTTGAATTACTACTTCATTATTACTACAATGTTTAACAAGTATTTAAACACGCTATATTCTTTTTTTATTTATCGAAATAATATGTATTTAGAATTATTCGACTTTGCTGTGACTTTCAGGGAACTGTTTTTGTGTTTTTCTTATTCAAGCATAGAAGTTGTCAGTAATTTTAGTTGAATATTCCTATTCTTTGGTCATTTTTCTCATCTTGTTCCTTCAGCTTGTGCGCCGTCCTGCCTGTCCTGCTCTGGTCCTTCTCAGTGTGACTCGTGTGGACCACAGGGAGCGCTGCTGAGCCCAGACGGAGCACAGTGTGTGTCTGTGTGTCCATCAGGCTCCTTCCAACTCGACCACACACACTGCAGAGGTAAGGCTTTCTCATGGCAAAGTGGTGGCTTTTTATTGGCTTATGGTTATTACAGTTTGCTAGGGGAAATATCTTTATCAGATTTGAACGTAAGTGAACTAAAGTTATTTTTCAGTATTTCACAAACAAATTGTTTAAATGGTTTTAATTTTAGGCCTTTTTCAATTTGTTACATTTGTTCAAAACACTGAAGGATTTGGTGTCAAATATGTCCGTGTGTAGACATTTAATAAAACCTCATAAATGTCCCAAATTTACAAAAGGCAAAATATGAAAGTTAAGTTTATAAATCCAGGCGCTGATACTAAAATGTGCATTTTTTTTTTTGCTGTTTTAAAGGTAAACAAATCCACTGTTAAAAAGGCTACAATGGAACAACATCGGTTTCATGTTTTTAATGAGTTTTGGGGTAGAATACCTGTTTTTGTTGCTGTAATTTGGAACACCCACTCACAAGTCAGGATGGTTGTTTTTGGGGACAACTTGAAAGGAAGAATTAAATGGGAAAAGGAGACGTGTTTTAATGTCCTCCATTTTGAATGTCGAAAGAAAGACGTTAGCTATAAAAGTTAGCTCTGTCTAAAGAGATGTGACACTTGAAACGCTTTGGTGATCACGGCCTGGACTTGAAAGGTTTAAATCATGACTAAACCAGTACTTACACCAAACACACATCCAGGACTAAGACTTCTGGCTTTTGTTGGGCCATATTTGGACACTGACATTTTGTGTATGGAGTGAATGAACAGTTCTACATTTAATTTACCCAACAGATGCTCTGGTGCAATGTTGTTTCTGTAACACTGGGCATGAATACTATAACTCCCGGAGCAGTCATTTTGATGGCTCAAATCAATGGAATTCTGAAATTTTAACAACATCCATCTGTTTCCACAAGTAAGTTAATAAGTGCTATTATAATTGAAATACAAAAAAATATTGGTGAAAGGCTTTCAAATGCTAACTTCTTTATGTAAAAAGTGTGTTGCTATGGTAACTAACACAAACACTTTCTCTGTTCTGGTGGAAAAACAGTCTAGGACCAGACCTCAGAGAAATGGAGCATTAACATTATAAAAGCGCTATATGAATGAACATTAATTACCTACTTACTTACATTAGCTGCCATAGAATGTCTCAAATGAAACAACTGCTCTGGGAGGTAAAGGTAGAACCATTCACATTTTCAAAATACAAGATAATTAAATTAAAGTTATGATACAAAAAAGTCAGTCAAGTATGAATACCAAATATGTACATACATATTGAATGAATAATTCCATTCTCAAAACTAAAAACTTTCAATTGGGAGTTCTAGTATTAACTAATGCTAGTAGTAAATAATGCTATATATTGGATTAGATTTATATGTTGTTGTCTGCTGTGTATGAGGTCCTGGAACAGAGCCAGGACCGTTTATCGCCTCTCATCCATAGCTCCTCGCTCTCTCTCTTTAAACGGCCACAGGAAGAAAGCAGGACAAAAGCATTGGACTACAGGCTCTATTTTAAAGATGGGCGAGTCTGATTGGAATGAGAGAGAGAGATGAGAGGAACAGAAGAGTTTTTAGCCCCTGCTTTAGCCTCATTGATGTGTTTGCGTGTTTACTCATGGGTGCCCTAAATGATCATAGACCAGGGGTACCAGACTTTATTAAACAAAGATCTACTTTACCAGAAACCATTGAGCCATAATCTACCTCATGCTATATGGTTTTTCAGAATATCATCATATGTTGAGTTGATTCACAATGCGTATTTGGTTCGTGATCAAGTAAAGACCATGTTGACGTTATTCACATTTGTTGGCTTGAAGTAGAGCAGCGGCTCTACTTCAAGCTCCTCCCAGCATCAAGCATTCTTTTTAATTTGGCACTTTGTGTCATGTTTCCACCAGACAAATTATTGCCCACTAAATGATAGCAGAATGAATAATCCAACCTTTAACAAATCATTATATTCATTGTGTTTACTGAATCCTTGCACATTTTTCAAATCAAGCAAATGTCCTCTGTCCTTTTAAAATATAAAAGAACAAGCACCAGGAGAGACCTGGCTCCGACAGAGCAGGTCTCTGCCCTGACCTTGAGGGTCTGGGGGTCACTGCCCCAGAGTCCTCCGATCCCCATGGGCTCCGAGTGCTGCAGCTCTGAACCAACACGTTTGTAGTTCACTCTTAATACGTACATTGGAAATTAAACACATTAAAAATGACTTTATTTCAGATTGTTGTTTCATACAGGATGCTTAACTTGGATGCATTTGCCAACATCTGTGAGTGTGAATTATTCTTGACATAATTAATGTTTGCCAATTTCAAATGAGATAGCCAATTTTCAATTTTTCCTGCTTTAAATACTTCAGCCTGAGAAAAGTATTTTTGTAGTTCATCTTACGTCCCTGATGTCGTCCTTATTTAGCCCTATAGATTTGTCCTTCAGAATTGTCTTTTGTGCCGCCGGTTTGTTTGTTTTTTCGATTTCCTTATTGCACAAACACCTTATGCACAACAGCCACAGCTGCACGGGGGATTCTTTCTTTTGGCCGGGTTCCCGCTAGGATTACATCTGCTGATAAGCGCGCGCTCCGGGACACCATAAAAAGAAATTGCTTTGCAGCTAGGGCCAAGGTAAAGGACGCAAAACTGACATATCCGACACGGCACAAAGAAACATTTTAATCTCAGGCCGGAGCTGTCTACTCCCTCTTTTCATTCAGTTGAACTTTGAACGAGTCAAGCTCTGCATTACAAATGAATCTGATATTATATTTAGTTTGTTTTTCAGTCTGTTTCCACTATTAGATTTAAGTTATAAGTAAAACATGATTTCCTGGGTTGCCCTCTTTATTCAATTTAATATCTATACCTGTTTGAAGGACATTGTCTGTGCAAAAGTACCCCAGTGTGCTCCAGACAAATATATATGAAATAAAACAAACTAAAAAGTACAAGAAACAATTGTCACTGAAATCAATCAACAAAACAGTTTCAGTTGCTGCATTCGAACTGATAAGGAAAGAAGCTGCTAGCATATCAAGATGTCCTGCATCTCTGCAAACAATGCAGGACATTGACGCAAAGGAAGAAGATGTAACTTGGGTTTTCCAGGGGCCAGACGAGTCATTGATCATTTGAAGAGTTGGATTTAAGAGTCTGGATTCATAAAGATTTTCCAGAACAGACAGCTGTCAGCCCTCTTTTAGAGCGGAACACCTTGTTTAGAGCTCTCCATTCTTTGGCTGTGATGCCGCTGAGCCACGCACTCACAAAACCAATGAGCTAACTTTCTGTGGCCATACTTGCATGTAAAAGCCAGATCCCATCAAAGTTCTGAAGCTGTGCAGGGTAGGGCCTGGTTAGCACTGTGATGGGAGACCACAATGGGGCGGCTGGGGTCAAACTGTTGTTGTGTCCTTGGGCAAGACACTTCCCCCACATTACCTATAATGAGTCTGGTGTGTGTGTGTGTGAAGGACTGGCTGTGGTGAAAGGGGCAGATGGCACATACTGATTGCCTCGCTTCTGTCAGTGTGTCCCAGGGCATCTGTGGCTACAGTAGTAGTTTATAAATACTGTGTATGGAGTGAAAGAATAATGACATGTGAAGTGTCTTTAAGCTCTATATAAAACCGATGCAATACAATCATTATTATCAATGGTGTAGTGCATAAAAGTTGAGCAGAATCTTAAAGTGTACAGTGAATTCTCTAAGTTTCCGCAGAAAGAAGAGACACTGAGGAGCTTAACAAGCTGATTAGAGTTGTTGTCCCATTTCATATCATTAGACAGAGTTAAACAAAAGCGGCGTTTCCACCGCAGGAACTTCGGGGTAATTTTCCAGGGCCAGCCCCCTCAGTGCGTGTCTCCACTGCAGGAACTTTCCCCACAGGGCAATTTACAGGAACTTTTACGGGGCCCAACGGAGTCCCTCCTCCATGGAGCTTCCTCCTTCCTCCTCCGTCGAGCAAAGACGTGTCTTAGTCCGCTCCTGCTTCTGAACGGCTTGCTATCTCCTGTTTTTGTCTTTTTTCCTGGAGCTTTGCCACAGACAACTTTAACAGAATGGAAATGATTAATTGGTCCCTCAACGCAATTGATTCTATCTTTTCAACACGTAAGCGTGGGTCTGGAGAGCCCGTGTGTCCGGACGGGACTTCACCAGCGGGGTATACTCTTGACAGCTGGAACAAGTTTCAGCCCCTCTGTCTGTCGACCCTGTCCATTGAAGATTCGGAAGACGTATATATCTTTGGCATTTTGGTGGTGGGAATCCTCCTGTTTGGGTTTGGAGCGATCCTCTTCTACCACAAATTCGGAGGCATGGCAGTTCGCAAGATTCACGACCTGCTGGCCGATAAAATTGATGGGATGTACAAGGAGCTTAGCCGTGTCGTGGTTGAGAGTGCCGTGTCTGGACAAAGAAGGGTGGTTTTGGTGGAACAGTTGATCAAAGACCTCGCAGCTCGTTCACTTGATGGACATAAGACTTTGGAATTGAGATTGAATGACATTGTTTGTCAGGCTTGATCTCTCTGACCCGACTTGGATTTGCCCCTGTGTACGGAGGTCTGAGGGCACCGGAATTCGGTTTAATTGGAATTAATAGAATATCTGCCTGCTTTTGACTGCGACATTGCAGGCGATGTGTTTTTCTCCTCCTGTGGCTTCTCTCCACTCTTATCTCACATTCCTCAGCCAAGGCCATAAACAAGGTCCCACAATCTACAACAACTCACACTATTCAGTCTTCAGCAAGGATCCCCCACTCCCGCCTCCCTCTACCTATCCATCTTGCTCCCTCCCTCCCCTCCATTCCTTATTGTTTTCCTACTCACCCCCTCCCTGATCCCGCCCCCCTCTGACAGCTACATTGGGCCGGCCGAAGAGGTGCTCTTCCCGAGAAAAAAATCCGTGGTTTATAAAAAGCACAATGTGTCTATCCAATTGTCTGTGAACTGTATGTTATTGCTCTCTGCTGTTTCTTGCTGCACACAGCGCCG